CCACGTGTTTAATGTCCTTTAAATTAGAAATAATGCCATGGCGGTGAGTGCCAAGTGCTCCTCTGTTACCAGTTCATCATGGAGTTTCTGTTGAGGGTCATGAAAAACACTTGGCTGCTTCCTCCGGATCTCACCGATGCAAAAAATACCTGTTTGGAAGCAAAAAAACCCCTTATTAATAATTTTTATTATTCTAAGAAAAAGTCTGTTAATTGTCTCAGTGAGCGAGGAAAGCAGGAGCTGCCCCACGCCCTGTGGGTTTCCTCTGCCTAAACCTCCCTCCCTGCTCCTTTTCTCCAGTCGACAGCAGAAATTTTACGCAGACCCATTGCCCGGCTCTCAGTTTTCCATGGAGCTCAGGGGCCGGAGCTAACCCACGCAAGACTCGGATCAAATCGAACCACTTATTAGCAAACATGGTAATAAAACCTCCCTCGCTATCACTACCAAAGAGAGCAAGGTTTGGAATGCCTTAAAAATACTGAGTTTGTCACATATTACTGCCATGGCACCATTTATTATGCAATATTAATGAGAGTGCTGTCGGTGGTTTGGCTCTTGCTAAAGGTTAACCATTTGGGTCAATATCCTGCATGGGAATTTGAAATGGTTTTCTGCGGAAAAGTTAGTCCCGGTATTTCAGCTGTTTCTGAAAATAAAGCTTGGGAAAACTACTTTCCTTCAGTATGCTCAAAGCACAGAAACGTATCAGGACTTTCTATGAAGAACACACCTTCTGGTGCTTCTGTCAGGATCCACCAGCATTCAACCCCAATAGAAGTCTTAGAAAATAAGTTATAATTTGCAAATGTCTAAGGGGACAGTCTGAAGCCTCTGGCCTTTTTAAAACCAAAAATTATTCAGTCTTCACACAACTTTAGGCATTAACCATTTCTCCAGAAAGAGAAACATCTGTATTTAGAATTTCAAACCCACCAGTGATCAGTTGGTTCCAGTATTTTAGAAAGACTGAGGTGGGGGGTTTTCCAGTTTTCTTAGAAAAGGAAAGGAATCAATAGGAGCAAACCAGAAGAACAACCCTTTAAAAAAACAGTATAAAAACCTGCAGAGTCAAGTACTCAAAAGTTAGAAAAAAGCAAACTAGGGGTATTTGGACAACTTAAATTCAGCTTCTTGGGCAGCTTCCTGTGGTTTACTCAATTGCAAGGTTAGGATACATTTTTTCTGCACAGCTCCAGCTTAATTCCATGCAGCAGGTAGGGCAATGCTCAACTAATGAGCAGCTGTTCAATAAACGGATCGTGGCCTCAAACCTTATTTATTGCATGTTATGAACCCTGCTCTGGGGACAGGGCAATCCGTTTCTTCATGTGTTTTGTGATCATGCTTGTTACAAAAGAACTCCCTGCTGCATGGTCCTGATTTATCTTGGTGAAACTGTGAGATGAGGAAATACCAACAGCAGAAACGGACCTCGGCATTCAGCAATATTCCATGCAAA